TTCCAGACACGGATGCTCTGATTCTGGACGGGGAGAACTCATGGCAGAAGGCATGGGTGGGAAGGATCTGTCTTTATCCCCTTTCCAGGGCCTGAAGGCAAGAGGCGAAGCTGAGCAGGGCGTTATCTCTGCAGAACACCCCCCTTTGCGTCCCCTTGGCTAATTGATGCTCGGTGCGGCACGTGCTCCCACGTTAACGTAACGCACAAAGCCAATTAAATGCCTGATTGGATGAAGCGGTCACAGTCAAGTGACCCACTGCCAACCAGTCAGGATTCAAAATTTCCAAATATCGTTAAGGTACGTGCGTTAATCCCTTCCTAAAAGATTAAGCATTTAACCTATTACTGCTGTTTCTGATGAGATACAGAAAATCTGCTGTGCTCAGGGGGAGAGCAGGCTGAACGGTGAAATGAGCAGCATTTGCCCTGTGCCAGCCCCGGCGCCCCGCGCGTGGCCGTGCAGCACATCTCACAGCATCTTCCAGGCGGCTCACATTGATCGGAACGGGGCAGTGTGCCTTGCTTCAAAGGGAAGACTAAGTGTTTTGCAGAAGAGACAGTTTTGGAGACTGCCTCCATTCCCTCCCCACTGTCTCTGCGCCCCTTTGCCAGTGAAGAGAGATGGCAGAGAGGGAACGCTGCTTCTCACCACGCTGACGGATCTCCCTGTCCTGGTTTCGGCTGGGATAGAGTTGATTTTCTTCCTAGTAGCAGGCATAGTGCTGTGTTTTGGATTTAGTAGGAGAAGAATGCTGATGACACGCTGCTGGTTTAGTGGTTGATAAGTACTGCTTATGCCAGTCAAGGACTTTTCAGCTTCCCATGCTCTGCCAGGGGCACAAGAAACTGGGAGGGGGCACAGGCAGAATAGTTGATCCAACTGACCCAAGGGCTATTCCATACCATACGGTGTCATGGGCAGTATGGAAACTGGGGGGGGTTGGCTGGGGAGCAGCAATCGCTGCTCGGGAACTGGCTGGGTATCGGTCGGCGGGTAGTGAGCAATTGCATTGTGCATCACTTGCTTTGTATATCATTATTATTATCATCATATTGTTATTATTATCATTACTATTTTACTTTATTTCAATTATTAAACTGTTCTTATCTCAGCCCAGGAGTGTTTCTCACTCTCACTCCTCCGATTCTCCCCCCCATCCTATCGGGGCAGGGGCAGTGAGCGAGCGGCTGCGTGGTGCTGAGCTGCTGGCTGGGGCTACACCACGACACTCCCTTAGCCAGGGCTGCTATAGATTTCTTTGAAGTACAGATTTTTGTTGAACTTCCAAGGTAGCATTGAGAATTGCAATACCTTCCTAGCCCAAGAGAGGTGTGAAGGCGATTTCCGCACTGACGCAGGAAGAAGGAGGAAAAACGGTCATTTGATAGATGTGGCTTCCCTCATCGTGCGGCTTGACTGGGGCCTGCAACCACTCACATCCTTAAATGCTTTAAGCCATTACAGATGTTCCAGTGCTTGATCCCCAGCTGCCATTTAAAAGCCACGCCAGGAGAAGATGTCACATAGCTGATAACACCCAGTGGACTAGGATCATCCGTGGTTAATGTCTACTTAGTAGTTAAATGAATACTAACTATCAATGGTAAATTGTAATTATTTATGTAAGTGAAAATGAATATGAAATGCAATAATGTAATCCCAGCATACTACTATGACAATTGAACAGACTTTGAAATCTTACCCTGACAGGGCAATCTGCTGTGCCTTAGCACTAGCAAAGGCACCGTCAACGGGGGAAGGTTGGTTGCACTGCGTCAGTGAAGGCAAGCAAAGAGAAGGTCTCTCTGCATAAGGCCAGGCACTGGGGAAAAACCTGCAGGAAGCGTTTTGCCCCCTCCACTCACTGTTTCACCTATAGATAAAATATTTAAAGGCTGTGGGATGTAAAGGCTAGCATGCAATGGCATGTTTATCATGCTCGTTCA